AGAGACACAGACGTAAAGAACAGACTTTTGGACTCTGTGGGAGAAGGCGAGGGTGGGATGATTTGAGAGGATAGCATTGAAACATGTTTATTACCATATGTGAAAGAGATAGCCAGTCCAGGTTTGATGAATGAGACAGGGCGCTCAGGGCTGGTGCACTGGGATGATCCAGAGGGGTGGGATGGGGAGGGAGGTGGGTTCACAAGGGGGAACACATGTACACCCACGGCTGATTCATGTCTATGTATGGCAAAAAACACTACAATATTGTAAAGTAATCAGCCTCCAATTAAAATATATAAATTAATTAAAAAAAGAAGGGTGTACAAACCGAACTGTGTACAAATCCTGAAAACAACCAATAAAACTTCAATTAGAGGGGAAAACTACTTTCCTTGTGCTTGTTATCTCGAAAAACAAAGTGGTAACCATCTCCACACACACACACACACACACACACACACACACAAGTCTAAGAAGAAACCCCAAAACCCACCTCATACGTTTCAGATTCAGATGAGCAAGTCTGTATTTAGTCCCGCACATAAGAACATAAGGGTGTGCTCTGAAGATTCTAACACACTCCCTCCACTCATCACCAAGGTGAGGGCTGCATCACATGGGGCCCCAAGACCAAGAAAGGCAGGCGTGGCCCAGACAGGTGGACAGAGCCAGGCTGATGGATAGAGCAGGCCAAGGAGAAGTCCGAAAGACCTGGGGGCACCAGAGGCTGCAAGTTAGCAACCAGAAATCCACAGAAAAACAGGAAAGAATGTGACTGCTCAAGGAGACCTTTTAAGAAAGAGTTTTTTGTTTTGTGGGGGCAGGGGTGGGATCTTCCCTGGTGGTCTAGTAGATAGGAATCGCTTGCCAACGCAGGGGACACAGGTTCAATCCCCGGTCTGGGACAATCCCACACGCTGCAGAGTAAAACTAGTCCCACGGGCCACAACTATTGAGCCTGTAGTCTAAAGTCTGGGAGCTGCATCCACTGAGCCCATGTGTGGAAAGCATGGAAGCCCTAGCGCCCTAGAACCCACGCTCTGCAACAAGAGCACTCACCACAATGAGAGGCCTGTGCACCACAACTAGAAAGTGACAATCTTAGTCACTCAGTCGTGTCCGACTCTTTGCAACCCCATGGATTATAGCCCGCCAGGGTCCTCTGTCCATGGGATTCTCCAGGAAAGAATACTGGAGTGGGTTGCCATGCCCTTCTCCAGGCGATCTGCCCCACCCAGGGATCAAACCCAGGTCTCCTGTATCGCAGGCAGATAAAATGTTTACCCTTTGAGCTAACAGGGAAGCCCACCGCCACTACTGGGTAGCCCTTACTCGCCACAAATAGAGAAAGCCCTTGTGCAACAAGGAAGACCCAGCACAGCCAAAAACAAATACATTAACTGATGTTCAGCCGCTCAGTCCTGTCCGACTCTTTGTGACCCCATGGACTGCAGCACGCCAGGCTTCCCTGTCCTTCACAAACTCCCAGAGTTTACTGAAACTGATGTCCATTAAGTCGGTGATACCATCCAACCATGTCATCCTCTTGTCGTCGTCTTCTCCTCCTACCCTCAATCTTTCCCAGCATCAGGGTCTTTTCTAATGAGTCAGCTCTTCACATCAGCTGGCCAAAGGATTGGAGCTTCAGCTTCAGCATCAGTCCTTCCAATGAATATTCAGGACTGATTTCCTTTAGGATGGACTGGTTGGATCTCCTTGCAGTCCAAGGGACTCTTAAGACTCTTCTTCAATAGCACAGTTCAAAAGCATCAAATACATAAATAAAACAGTGCAATTTTAAAAAAAGAAATGCAAAGGGAAGGAAATTTGCATGGGGGGGGCGGTCAGCAGTGGCAATTCAGAACCCAAGCCAGACACGACAGAGAACCCTGACAGGAGTGTTCAACTCTGAGCCCAGAGCCCACGGCCTCCCCAGGGAAAGATGAAGCCCAAAGTGTGTGCCCGCTCTCCAGGAGGGGTGAACATCCAGGGCCTCAGGGCTCTGCAGAGTCCTCACCCTCTGGGACAGCACAGCAGTCCAGAGAACAGAGGCCAACCCGTGGAGGGGACACTGTCTGCAGGGCAATACTCAGGGGACATTCTCTGAACACCCCCGCCTGGCGAGGGGAAGTCACAATCTAGGGGAAAGGTGTGCAGAGGACACCCATTCCAGCGCCACGCCAGTTAGCAATGCAGTGCGTCTTAAGTGCAAACCACCAGTCACCAGCTGAGTGGTGATACTGGGGCTGGACACATGGACCTTTGAGGGTGGGGCAGGCTGTGCTTCTCGAAGTGTCGTCAGCAGAGGGCACCGGAGGGGCATGGGATGACAGGGCTTCCCTTCAGAAGTCAGCCCTGTTCCCAAGGGCAAGGCAGTGTCTTGACTCTTTTCAAACCAATGGACTGCAGCACGCCAGGCTTCCCTGTCCCTCACCAACTCCCAGAGATTGCTCAAGCTCATGTCCACCACATCAGTGATGCCATCCAACTATCTTCATCCTCTTCGTCCCCTTCTCCTCCTGCCTTCCATCTTTCCCAGCATGAGGGTCTTTTCCAATGAGTCAGTTCTTCGCATCAAGTGGCCAGAGTATTGGAGTCTCAGCTCCAGCATCAGGCCTTTCAATGCATATTCAGGACTGATGTCCTTTAGGATGGACTGGCTGGCTCTCCTTGCAGTTCTGTTGCTCAGTCGTGTCTTGCCTCTTTTCAAACCAATGGACTGCGGCACGCCAGGCCGCCCTGTCCATCGCCAGCTCCCAGAACTTGCTCAAACTTGTGTCCGCCGCGTCGGTGATGCCATCTAACCATCTTCATCCTCTGTTGTCCCCTTCCCCATTCTGTCTTCAATCTTTCCCAGCATCAAAGAGGTCACCGGCCACATGCCTGGAGGTGGTGTTCCTTCCAGCTGTACTCTTCAGAGCTCACTTTACCCCAAGGAGTGCCTAGTTAATCATTCTTCACTAAGTTGATAATAAGGAATCATCTGCTGACAGTAATTCTTTACACCCAGGGTGGCAAACTTCTGCACCGAGAGAGCCAGACGGTAAATATTTTAAGCTTGGAGGCAGGGTGGGGGTGGTGGTAATCTTTCGGTCTCCATGGCAACCACACAACCCCGCCCAAAAGACGAGCCAGAAGGGGTGTGTTGGTATGTGGCCAGTGCCTGGAAGCCTGCTTTCTATTAAGCAGCCCCTGTTCCAATTACTGTTTGCCTTCTGCCTCCCCAACCAGACCCTGATGGAGAGACAATTCCATGTGACAAGCACAGTGATGGAGGCGTGCATGGGCCCCAGCATCAAGAGCGGGGAGCAGTCAGACCACAGGATTCGAGGAGGGGCTGACGATCAGGGATGCTTTCACAGAGATGAGGGCGAAGGCACTAGGACTTCGGACTGACCTCTACCACTTCACTGCACAGTTGGAGAACTGAAAGCGATCATGGCTCAGTCGTGCCCAACTCTTTGCAACTGCATGGACTGTAGCCCGCCAGGCTCCTCTGTCCATGGGGCTTCTCCAGGCAAGAGTACTGGAGTGGGCTGCCATGCCCTCCTCCCCCAGGGGATGTTCCCGACTCAGGGGTCGAACCCAGGTCTCCAGTATCGCAGGCAGATTCTTCACCATCTGAGCCCAGTAGGGAAGCCCGACTGGAGAGAACTGGATATTGAAGCCCACTTTATTGTTATCCGTCTGTTTTCCACTCAAAACAATTCTGACAAGAGTTGGGGAGCCCGGGGCCTGACAACCCAGAACCATGAGAAGAATAAAAGGGAGACAATTATGAAAATATGTTGCAAATTCAGAGTGTTATGCAAGTATTATTTACAAAACACTTTATTTAGAATTTGCTGGCATTCCAATCTGGACTGCAACCCAGGGGAGGCTCCTGGACTCGCAAGTTCAGCGACAGACGGTCCCCACTCCTACTGTTAATAACACAAGGAAACGAGACACTTAAGTGGCAAAGGGAGATTGAGACTGCTCCGTTTACAGACACCCCAAAGTTATTTGGGTAGACTGGTTTCTAAGTCCTTGCATACCACACTGTTTAGGGGAAAAGTAAACCCCAAAGTTCAGTTATCCTAGAAGCTCTTAAGGTTTATTCTCAACCTACAGTTTCTTTTACCCGTGATGAGCTACTATACAGCCTTACAGAAAACTTCTAAATTGCAACAAGTTGCCATTCACAAATGGTGGGGTGTCTTACAAAAGTTTCACCTAAATGTATTATGTGGAAATTAGCCCACATATCCCCCATTTGAAACACACACGCGTGCACACACACACACACAAATGCAATATAAGTTCTCAGGCTAAGACACAAATACCTCTCTAAAAAATTGTCATCATTTATATGTGTATGCTCACGGCTGATTCAGGCTTTCCACGTGGCGCTAGTGGTAAAGAACCTGCCTGCCAATGCAGGAGACGTAAGAGACCTGGGTTCGATCCCTGGGTGGGGAAGATGCCCTGGAGAAGGAAATGGCAACCCACTCCAGTATTCCTCCCCAGAGACTCCCATGGACAGAGGAGCCTGGCGGGCTACAGTCCACGGGGTCGCAGAGTCAGACACGACTGAAGTGACTCAGCACACATGCATGGCTGACTCAGGTTGTTGTATCGCAGAAAGTAACATGACACTGTGGTACAGGTATCCACTAATTAAAAGAAAAAGCTGTTGCGGTTTACAGACTGTGGTTTTTGCAACCGAGCAAAGGGGAAGAAAGGCAAACACGCCTTCTCCACAGCTGGCTCTCTGATATATGTGCTGTATGCACGGGTCAGGTGTTCCTAACTTAGGCATAGCTCTGGGGCCTCTTGGTTAGAATGGGGACTACGTTTTCTAGAAGCACTATTTCCATACGGTTCTTGACATCGGGTCCAAAGGAAACAGAACATGGATGGGCTAGCTGAACACTGGGATACCTCACCATGTTTCTCCCCCAGGTACCAGTGATGTCCAGGGCTGGATATTCCTCTGTGGCGGGGTTGTCCCTTACCTGGAGGATGTCTACGATCGTCATTCCTAGTCTCTGCCCACTGCATGTCAGCGGCATCCCCTCCCCGCCCCATAACAACTGGAATGTCCCCAGATACTGCACAGTATATACCCTGAGGAATAAAAGCAATCATTCCCAACTGGGAACCTCCTCTCTAGAGAAAGGATAAAGTGCCTGCCACACTCATGACAACCCTCAGTGGAAGATGCGTCCACCACGGCATCCACCACGGCAGGACCCCAGCAGCCTCCTACCTCCCACAGAATGTCTTTCGAGAACTTCCCTGGCAGGCAAGCAGTGAAGACCCTGTGCTTCCGATGCAGAAGGCATGGGTTCGACCCCTGGCCAGGGAACCGGACCCCACAAGTCATGCCACTGCCACGCAACGTGGCCTCCAAAATAAAAGATCTCCCACCAGCAACAGGAGACAGGCTGGCCGATCAGGCCAAGAGGAGGCCCTGTGTTCAGTCCAGTCCCACCGGTGACCAAGCAAAACTAACCACTGTCGCCCTGCTCTGGACACCGTGCATGTGTGCTGAGTCACTGAGCTGTGTCCACCCCACCCCCCATGGACCACAGCCCGCCAGGCTCCTCTGTCCACGGGATTCTCCAGGCAAGAACACTAGAGTGCGCTGCCATTTCCTTCTCCAGAGAGGGGTCTTCCCGACCCAGGGATCAAACCCCCGTCTCCTGCATTGGCAGGTGAATTCTTTACCACTGAGCCACCTGGCAAGCCTCTGCACATTATGAGCTTTAGCCTGAACATCACAGGCCGGCGACAAAGAAGCATCTGTCCTTTTCCCCCTGGAGAAATGGTCCTTTCTTGTTTCCCGGCTGTGTCGGGCTGGGGTCCCCTCTACTCACACCTGCACCCCGTGTCTGGCTCACTTCCACTAACCCTCCTGGACCCCATGTCTACTCTGGAACCAACGGCCGCCTCCCAGCCTCCCGAATACCCTGCTACATTACCACTTGGGGCTCCAAACTCTCTGCTTCCCCCCCTCCACCGCCCCCATTTTTATTTATTTTTGGCCACAGGTGGCATCCAGGACATTAGTTCCCAGACCAGGCTTCGAACTAATGCTTCCTGCAGCGGAAGCTCAGTACCCTGTACCCTGCTGACAGCTCTCTGGTTAAGCTACCAGCCCCAGTCCAAGACTCTCGTCTTCTGGAGGCCAAACTCCAATGGTTATCTCTGTAACTTCCCCTCCGATACCAAAGTCTGTCTCACAACACGACGGGCAACACTTCTGGCAAGGGCGAACCGAGAGGAAAAGACGTCAGCGGGGCACAGCAGCGTCCCTCGTCCAAAGCCCGCTTTCATCCTATACCACGGGAGGAACACAGCACGGCCCGGGCCCCCTTTCTGGGTTGGTTTCATGCCTTATCAAGTTGGGGCGAACGCGAGCAGGCTCCCCAGCCGTCTGGGAACACAGTCCTGCCCTCAATTCCAACCGTGTTCTCAGACACCTGGAGCAAAGGAGCAGTGGGAACGTTCAAGCACCGGAACGGCTGGAACCACTTAATCATGCAGTCTTCAAAGCGGAAACGCAGCCTGCAGGAGCCGATAGGCCATCGAGAGGCAGGAAGAGGAACTGCTGGACACAAGAACAAAAGTGCCCCTGGCCTGGGAGGCGGGCGGCTGTTTTGTCTGCAATGGACGGACGGACGGGCCCCAGCCCCGGGGCCGCTTCAAAGAAGCGGGGGCGCTTGTTCAGATAAGGCTGCTGCTGGGCGGCACGACAGAGGGGACTGGTCAGGGGCGGGATCCAGGGGAGGAGGCCACCTCGCCTTCCCTAGGGGTGAAGTCAGAGCTCCCTGCAGGCTTTCATCTTTTTATCAGGTAAACACATGGGTGATCTCATCCATCACGAGGCCTGTGCTTCTGGAAAAAGTCCTTTCCACGGGTGTTGTCCCAGGCAAAATGCTTGGGGTGTCCTCCTGAAATCCAACTGCGCTGCCCTGGGGCAGTTTCCTGGTGGTCCAGGGGTGAAGACTCCCGTGCATGCGGTGCAGAGAAGGGTGCATGGGTTTCATCCCTGGTCAGGGAACTAAGACCCCACATGATGAGGTCAAAAAGGAAAAAAAAAAAAAAAAAGAAACCCAACCCCCACCCCCCAGTGTGATGATCTAAGGGGCTGGGGGTCGTTGGGAGGAGACTGGGCCATAGGGTGGAAAGTGAAAGTCGCTCAGTCGTGCCTGACTTTTTGTGACCCCGTGGGCTATACAGTCCATGGAATTCTCCAGGCCAGAATACTGAAGTGGGTAGCCTTTCCCTTCTCCAGGGGAATCTTCCCAACCCAGGGATCGAACCCATGTGTCCTGCATTGCAGGCGAATTCTTGACTACCTGAGCTATCAGGGAAGCCCCAAAGTAGGACTGTTTGATTGCTTTAAGTAATTGAATAATTATTGATTGACTGCTTTCTACAGGGGATCTTCCCAACCCAGAAAATCAAACCTGGGTCTCTCCGGCACTGCAGGTGGATTCTTTACCAACTGAGTCACAAGGGAAGCCCATGAGGGTGGAACCTTCAGAGGCGACATCAGGGCTGTTATACTGCACCAAACATTCCCAAGACCTTCCTGACACCTTCTACCATGTAAGGCCACTAGAAGAGACCACCTATGAACCAGGTCCTCAGCACACAGTGAATCTGCCAGCAACCGGATGGATTTCCAGACTCCAGACCGTGAAAATTAAAATGTTTGTTGTTTATAGGTTTTGTTTTGTTTTCAATCACAGCCTAAATGTTATCACCGACTCAACAGACACGAGTTTGAGCAAACTCCAGGAGATGGTAATGGACAGGGGAGCCTGGCGAGCTGCAGTCCGTGGGGTCACAAAGAGTCAGACACAGGTGAGCAGATGAACAACAACAAATTGGACAAAGACAGATGTCAAAGGTGCAGCTCACAAGGCCTAGCTAAGCACTGCGGGAAACAGAAATTTCAGGATTTGTACATGCTAGTGCTCAGAGGGTAGGCAAGGGTCTGGGATACAAAGACACCAGCTCTCCAGAGGGGGCCCCTGGAGACAGGGCAGGGTGTTCCTCACTGAAGGCCCAGTTCCGTGCCTGGCCTTTGGTTCAGTTCAGTTCAATTGCTCAGTTGTGTCCGCCTCTTTGCGACCCCATAGACTGCAGCACACCAGGCCTCCCTGTCCATCACCAACTCCCGGAGCTTGCTCAAACTCACTTCCATCCAGTCGGTGATGCCATCCAACCATCTCATCTTCTGTCGTCCCCTTCTCCTCCCGCCTTCAATCTTTCTCAGCATCAAGGTCTTTTCAAATGAGTCAGTCCTTCGCATCAGGTGGCCAAAGTACTGGAGCTTCAGCATGGGTCCATCCAATGAACATTCAGGACTCATTTCCTTTAGGATGGACTGGTTGGATCTCCGTGCCGTCCAAGGGACTCTCCAGAGTCTTCTCCAACATCACAGCTCAAAAACATCAGTTCTCCAGCACTCAGCTTTCTTTATGGTCCAACTCTCACATCCACAGGTGACTACTTGGAAAAACCATAGCTTTGACTACACAGAGCCAGGGTGGGCAGATCCTTCAGTGGTTGTTACTGTTCTTGAAGAGGCTGGACATCTGGATTTTTATGGGGAATATCCCCGTGTCCTCAAATTGTTGCCATACTTTAGATTTCAAGACTTGGTGAGGGACTTCCCTGGAGGTTTAGTCATTAAGAATACACCGTGCAAGGCAGGGCATGTGGTTTTGATCCCTGGCCTGGGAACTAAGACCCCACTTGCTCTGTTTACGCCACAGAGCAAGTAAACAGGCAGAGGGCAACTACTGAGCCTGTGGGACACAACCAGAGAATCCAGGCATCACAACGGAAGATCCCACATGCCACAACTAAGACCCAATGTAGCCAAATGAGTGAGTGTCTGTGTGTTAGTCACTCAGTTGTGTCCAGCTCTTTGTGACCCCATGGACTGAAGCCCACCAGGCTCCTCTGTCCACAAGGGATTCTCCAGGCAAGAAAACTGGAGCAGGGAGCCATTCCCTTCTCCAGGGGAATCTTCCCGACCCAGGGATCGAACCCGGGTCTCTTGCATTGCAGGCAGATTTTTTAGCATGGAGCCACCAGGGAAGCCCTGATGCAGCCAAATAAATATATAAATGTTACCAAAAAAGAAAAAACCACCTTGGCCACCTCTCAGAAAACAGAAGCAGGGGAAAGTCACATCGGCAAAGTCCTCAATGGGCAGCCTGTGGCTTGGGTTGTTCCCGTCATACGCACCTCCTCTCTGCACACCAAGGCGACCTCCTCGGCACCCACCCTCCAGTTCCCCTCTGTCCCTCCCTACACTTGGCCTGACTGACCTGCAGGGACCTGCTCCTGCCCAGATTCCTTGGAATTCTGGTGTTTTTTTTGGGGGGGAGGGGGACCCTCTGTCGCAGCCAGGATCAGGCCGTCTGCAATGGGTAACAGCCCTGCCGTGCCGCGCCCCAGCCACCGTCCATGCGGACACGGGGACGGACACGGTCTCCGCCAGGCCAGAGTGGGTGGGGCGGGGCCGGGCCGGTCCTAAGCGGAGAAGGGAGCTGGCGGAAGCGGACGTCAGCTGGACGCCTCTGGGGAAAGCCTTTGTCTCTGCATCAAAAGGGCAGAAACATCTGGACCCACCCTTTCTTGCGGCCCCGAACAAAGACGCGTGCTGTGGATGCGGCAGCTGGCGCGCAGCCGTCAGGCTGCAGAGACCCCGAGGGTCGAGGGGCCCTTAGAAAACCGGACCCATTCATCCAGAAGACGGCGTACTTCAGAACGAGCCAGAACTCTTTATATAGCCAAATCATTTCTCCTTTTAATGTTTATAATGTAAAAAACTTCTAAAAAAAATTTCAACATGGAAAAATAATTTAAAACAATAAAACTTCGTTGAGTTTTCTAATTCAAAAAGTATTACGGTATCATTTATTTTCACGTCTGAGAAACAGACTACAAAAGCCTATAATATCTTTGTATGCTCACGTTATTATTTACAACCAAGACATACTGTGGCTTCCCC